TTAGTTTTGGAAGGTCTTTGCTGATATTGGAATACTGAGGTGAACTTAGATAAGTCAGAAATAATTGTTTTCAGAAATGGTGGATGTGTTAAGTGCATAGAAAACATGTTTTAGGACAACAAAGAAATAAACATAGTATTATATTATGAATATTATGATTTAGTATTTCCATCACGTTTATTGTGATCAAAGGCGTGGGACACATTAGCTATACAGGCAAAGAAAGCATGTTTTCTAATATGTAAGCTCGCAGAGAAATGTCCATATCTTTAATTTAGTGGTGGTGTTTCTAGTTTTCCTACAAACAGACTTATTGGACATGGAGGGTGGATTCTGAGGACAGACTGTCAGAGAAAGTGATCGTTTGTTTTAAGAGATCTTTTTTGCTTTGTATATATATATGTCAACTATTGCTGCACCTTAGGAAAGTTAGTTGATGTTCAATGTGTGAAGCATTCTTGCTGCTGTATAAACAGTGTATAAAATAGTTCTGAAATGTGGTCTCTCCTCTCCAAGGACTGGCTGTCTAAAAAAGTGACCAGTCCTGAACAAACACAGCCAGTCCCAAAAACTAAAACTCTTCATTCAAACCAAGTTTATTTTTTCAAATATTTCCCCCCACCAAAGGACGGCTTTACTCATTTAATAGACCGTCCTTCACAAAATTAGGCTGTCAAGGACGGTGGGATAGGCTATATGTTATACACTGGTATAAAGTATTGGTGTAGGTCTGCTCAGGCTTGCTATGACATGATGTATATATTGGTACTGGTGGAGTAAATTGGCTGTCACATGTTCAAATGTTATTACAAACAAAATGTACTTCAAACTGGGTTTTCAGATGTACGGACATCCTGAGAATTTGGGATGAGTTGCATTTCATCACATGTTGATGATTATGATTTATAGCAGATGACTTGATATCCAAATCTTGGTATCAAAGTATAAATTCTTCTGTATGTCTTAGAAATGATGTTAAAGCCTTTAATCATCGTACCGAAGACCCGGGTTCAATTCCCCACATGGATACAATGTGTGAAGCCCATTTCTGGTGTCCCTCGACGTGGTATTGCTGGAATATTGCTAAAAGCCGCTTAAAACCATACTCACTCACTCACTTAGAAATTATGGATCACCTAAATCATTACTTACCCTGAATTATTTATTGTGTCAAATTTTGTGAAAGATCTTATGATAATTTTGAAATGTTGATGTAAGTGTTTGTGGGTTGGTTGCCTCCTGAATGAACTTAATGCTTATACAGAGGTTAATGGTGCTGCTTATTTTTCATCTGAACAATTAACACTGTCTATATTTTTTCAGAATTAAATAATTTCTATGAATACACAAAGCCATTTAGAAAATTGTCAAATGTAACATATGTAATGATTATATCCAATGAGTCACATCCAAGATTTGAAAGCAAGAGTTGGGCACATAATCTCCAGCACACAGTCAGCCATATAACCTACTCAGCCACCAGGGCTTCCACAAAAATAGAAGTCTGTGTAGCAATTAGTTGCCCTACTCTGAGAGTGTGAACTCAAATTCAATATAAGACTAAACCCCCAAAATGTACTTGAATCAGTACTCTCCTGAAAACGTGTAATCCCAAATATAATTTAAAATATGTCAATAATATCTGCCATCATCTGGGTGTGCATGTACTGTTCATGTACCACATGCTACTGGGTTGTCCATGATCATATACATGTGAGGTGAGGTGAAATTGGGTTATTGGAAATATTTCGCTCATGTGACGACGTGCATGCGTGTGTATGTGTATGTGTATGTGTATGTGTATGTGTATGTGTATGTGTGGCTGCTTGTACTAGCCAAGACTGAAGCTGGTTTTGTAGTGCTAGCCCACTGAGATACCATGCCGCAGTGAAGCATGAATACCCCACTCAGACACATTATACTGACTCTGAGCCGACCAGTCCTTGATGTACCCATTAATGCCGAGCGCCAGGCAGGGACCAACAAGTACCATATTTTAACGTGTTTTGGTATGACGCGGTCGGGGATCAAACCCGCGACCTTCCGCTCTTCGTGCGGACGCTCTAACCACTACACCACGGAGGCGGTCTCATATACATGTACAGAGACGTGTCATCTGCAAACAATTATTTTCCCAACTTCATATTTTGTATAAACTCCTGTATGTAAATAACAATACAAGTAGCCATAGGCATGAGGTAGGGTTTGTGACACTGGGAATGGGCATTTGTTTAAATACTTTTATTACCTAAGAGGGCGAAAATATCAGGGTTTATATTTTTCATACGATGCCCTAGGACAAAATATCACTTTATTATGGTGTTGTGACGTCATGAACAATGCTATGACGTCACATTTCTTCTATGACATTGTGTTCTACATGCGGGTATCCAGCCTATGTTTAAAAGTAGATTTGGTGTTTTTTTCCTCAATTTGATTACTTTGGTAATAAACAGAATATTATATTCGTGCCCATATCATAGACACTGGTGCCTAAATATCGGCATATCCATCGCTCTCGCCCGGGAAATACCAACATTTAGGCACTCGTGTTGTAAACATAGTATGACATGGGCACTCATATAATATCCTCTATATATCGGTAATTATGTACATTATATATAATATCCTCTATATATCGGTAATTATGTACATTATATATAATATCCTCTATATATCGGTAATTATGTACATTATATATAATATGAAAGTAAAACTATTTGTGATTGAATACTTGTATTGAGTTTTGATAGTACCAAGAGACAGATATTGTTCTCTTCATTCTTAACCTTCCCCATGCTGAGGATAAGAGTTCCATTCCACACATGGATGCAATATTTGAAGTGCATTCTTGCTGTAAAATGGATGGAATATGCCGAAAGCTGCCAGCTGAATGTTCTTCAGTCCAATTGCAATTTGAGAACAATGTGTGTCTTAGCAATGCCGGGGAGAACTGTTATATATCAACTCTGAACAGTAAATCCCTTCAAGATTTTGTAATGTCAGTTTAACATGCTATCGGTTGTGTATAAAGGGTTGACCAGATGTCCGGCCATGAATACCGTCAGTGTAGAATAAACCACTAAACTATGGATTTGTGACATCTTTATGTGCCTTTCACTCTCTTCATCTGTTTGCATATGTCGCTGTTTGTGATGATTATTGAGTGAAAGTCACCTCGTGGCGTGTACGTGTGTTTGCTTTGCCATTACACCTTACAGATGTAGCTTTTATTTCCGACACGAATACTGTCTCATTGTGTGTCGTCTTCTGCATTGATCCTGAAAATTGATCCAACCTCTGCCATTTCCATATTGCAGTGCACGGACTGCTCTAACATAGAATCAATGGGAACACAAGGAAAGATCACATTAATTACCCTGTACATTCCTGTTTTATTGAGGCTAAGCGTTATGAATTACTTGCTCTTTATCAACTTTTCCTGTATTGACTTTGCTGGGACTGCAAGATTTGTGTGAGAAGTCAATACAATTAAGTCTCAGTTACAGTTCCTTACTATATTTTATATTGTGGAATAACAGCAGGAGCTAGGTGATTGTTGTTCTGTCCGTATGACAGCTGTGGTGTGAATGAGAATTTTATTTGGTTGACAGTGTGAAGCATGAAATTTGTATTGTATGAAACAAATATGCATGTAACAGTGGATAAAGATTTCAAGTCCCAGTGATGAAGTCACTGAGTACAATATAATTCCTACCCTTCATATGTTTAACATACATATTTACCTATTTCAATTAAAACAAATTTTTTTTTTAATGTTTATGGGCTTTCAAACTCAAACTTTGTACACTGTTAGCCTATTGATGATGGTATTCACTGTGGTATGTAAGAATTTTCAATAGAGGAGTTGGACAAATATATGAGTATTCCTTTTCAACTCGTTTATTGGAGTGGACATTCTTACTAATAAGCTGGTGTAATCTAGTCTTGTGTTCCCCACATGGGTACAATGTGTGAAGCCCATTTCTGGTGTCCCACGCCGTGATATTGCTGAAATCGTGTGAAACTCGATTTCGGCGTGAAACTCAACTCACTCACTCACTCTAGTCTTGTGTTAAATGCTGACAATGTCTTGGTCATTGCAAGATATGGAGTGTGTTGGACAGAATACAGGTCAACACTTTATTGCCAATAACCGGAGACGGTACAAGCTAGATGCGTCATCTGTAGAACTGAAGTGTTCAGCACATCAGTGGAATTAGGTACAGATTCATGTTTGAAAATGTTTCATGATTTCCGAATTGATGGCCCGTGAAGATCCAGATTAGAATTGATCTTCAGCAACTCATGATTGTTGTAAGAGGCGACTAACAAGATCGGGTGGTCAGGCTAACTGACTTGGTTGACACATGTCATTGTATCCTAATTGCGTAGATCGATGCTCATGCTGTTGATCACTGGATTGTCTGGTCCAGACTTGATCATTTACAGACCGCCGCCATATAGCTGGAATAGTGTGGAGTTAAACAACAAACCAACCAACCGAATTGATGGATCAGTGACAAAAGTGACATTCAATGCAATTTCCCTGTTTTGCCATATGTTCCTGTGTATTTCATGTGAACAGTTGACTTTCCTTAGCATGTGTTTGTGACGAGTGTCTCCGATGTGGAAGAATACCCCTTTTTCCTGTCATGAGTGTACTATCATTGCTATCACGATAGTATCATTACTCTTTGATGGTGATTCTTGAACATATGCTCATGATATCACTCAATAGAGTCTGTAGCAAAGATTTCTTATTAATATGGAAAGGGCTCTATTTGACAACACATTTAAGTTTTGACGTATAAGACTGGATGGGCTTCTATTTTGATCAGGAGTATGATGTCATATGTCATATAAATTTATGAAAGAGGGTGGCTAAACAATATTTTGTGAAACTATTATGAGTATTTGCAGCTCAGGTCTCAGTGACAGATATGTGAACAAGACAGTATGTGACACGAACCCCTACAACGGCTGCTGTATGATTTCAGGTGGTGCACCTGCACTGGTGGCCGATGGTGCGAGACTGCATGTGCTACCTGCTCAGTGTGCTGGCGCTGGTTCTGGTCATCATGGACGAAACGGTCAAGTGGTCAGTAATAGTTTACAAACACAATTACATGCTAAGGGGTCCTTGTTCTACTCAGAAAATTATCATTTATTTATGTTAATTTTAGTGTTTGCATTGTCCATGGTTCCGTTAATTTTCTTCAATGTAAATTATATTTGCTATGCAATGACTTGGTCTGATAATGACCGTGGCTGGCATTACCTTTCGTCATATTGTGAAACAGTTAACAATATGGGACTGGATAAAACTATCAGAGCAATACAAGCTGGTTATTGAACACAGCCTAGAGCAAGGCCACATGGATCCTGGAGGGCTTCATACATTGAGTATTGCAGTATGGATCAGAACATCTGATATGTCTATCATCAGGGTATGAAACTCCAAACAATATCAGCCAGACCACAGGGCTGGTTAGATGTAAAACTTGCCACCCTGACCAAGACTTACCTGCCCGCAAATAATTTAGGTTTGACAAGCGACATAGTTTATCATCCAATTAGAATTCATCCTTTATTTTTACGAGTGAATTAATAATGATTTATTATCATGAAATATGATTAATATCTTTATATACATGTCTAAAATATAACCCGACCGTCGGGCAGGTGAATTTGAGAATCTGGTAGCTCGTGTTGAAAATAACCCATCCTGGTTGGGCAGGCAGGTATTTCAAACACTGCTATCATGACACTATCAAATATACTGGACATTGGTATTTATATCATTGATATTTTATCAGTATGTTCATGAATAAATAGACCATTATTCATAATTTCAAAATTTACATATATCCCTAACTATTTTTGTCCAGTATATTTGAATAACAGTCTTACCTGATGGTGGGATAGCCTTGTGGATGAAGTGTTTACTGGTTATGCCACAGACTGGGTTTGATTCCCCAAACCATGCAACATGTGTGGTTAATATGTCTTAATATGCTTCATCAGCATGGTACTCTAATGACAAGAGGGGCGTCGGGGTAGCCTAGTGGTTAAAGCATTCACTCGTCACGCTGAAGACCTGGGTGCGATTCCATACGGGTACAGTGTGCGAAGCCCATATCTGGTGTCCCCTGCCGTGATACTGCTGTAATATTGCTAAAAAAGCGGTGTAAAACTAAACTCATTCACTCAACCACCAAATGATAAGACTGTTAGCAGACTTTGTTCCTGAGAACATGAGCGACAAATGAATCGAGGTATCGATGTTGCTGAGGATTTAAGCCATTTTGGAACTTTATGTACATTTGAAAGCAAAGGTTAGGAAGGCAAATGTTATTATTAATGACTGAAAAACAATACCGGAAATAACAATAGATGTTATCATCCTGTAATGGCTGAAATTATGAGAAATATGTTGTCATCTCTGAACCAAATTAATACAAGAGTTACGTCATAATTCAAGGCCAGACAAATTATGATATTCCAAGTCAATAATCTTAATATCAACACCATGTCTGTGTTGGCTTTGTTGATGGCAGATATCTGGGAAGGCTTTTATGGGAACTCTACACTAATCTGGAAGATGGAAAATAGCTGTAAGCTTGGCGTTGTGTACAGGGCTGTAGACTATATGTGACATTTAATCACTTGGGCTGCATTGCAGGCTTTATCAGAATGTGAGAATATTTAGGTTTCGAAGAAACAAGATATTGAATTTGGAATTTGGGGTTTATGAAAATATTTTGTTCAAATTTAATCAAACCTACAAAAGTGCTCTTTTTGATAATACAATAAGCAGATAATGAGATTGTGTTGACTGCTTGAATGGCTGGTAATTTGAAGGTGAAAAGCTCTGATATGATTATGCCTGTTTTAGTGGATTGTATTGGTGGGGAAGAGGTGGTGAGGTAGCCTAGTGGTTGAAGCATCCGCTCATCACTCCGAAGACCCGGATTTGATTCCCTACATGGGTACAATGTGTGAAGCCAATTTCTGGAGTCCCCTGCTGTGATATTGCTGGAATATTGCTGAAAGCGGCATACAACCATCCTCACACACTCTCACTCACTTATGGTGGAGAACACTGTAACTTGCTGTGGTGCAGACCTTTTTTGCAGTTTTTCTTTTATTGTTTGATCAGAATATGTCTTGGAGTCTTTTAAGTGTATGATTTACTTGCATACCATATCAGAGTGTTTCTTCCTTAGTATTATATTGTATTGACTCGCCTGACTGAAGGTCAAGTGAACTTACGCCATGCCCTATTAACTGTCACATGTTACATAAACATCTTCTTGAAAATAGCATTAAAACTAAACTGTACATACAACTCAGTATGTTCATGAATACTTAAATCCAATTTTCAACATGGCTGCCATGGCAGCAATCATGAAAACTTAGTTTGGCTGACTATTTTGTTCAAATTCTAAGTACAAATTGTAGATGTGTAGTTAATAGTTGCACCAAATTAATAGATTCAATGGCATGTGATTTTTCATCAGGACCCCTCACACCTTCCATACAACATACAGATATTATTCGCTTTCTCAACAGTTCTTTAATCAGGAAGGTCCTCCCATTAGATGATGCAGTACAGAAAATACCCACCTTGTTCTGGTTGTCTTTGATATCCTTCAGATATTATGAAGATATTGGGTCCTCCCATAATTGTTTCAAGTCGTGTTTGTGTTTGTTTTTGTGACATTTTGATGTTAATTTGACATTTGCACCCCAAATACTCTCAAAATAGAAGTGACAAAACCCTTCCACATTCATAGGAAATCTCTCCTAAAAGCAAAGTCAAGAGAAAAAACTTGTTCTGTTTCTGTGAATGTCACTTCCTCAAAACCACTGCACCAATGAAGCTAAAACTTCACATGTTTTTTTCAACCAGTGATAACATCAAAACTGGTTCAAGGAGTTGGAATCTGAAGTTTATTTTGGATGCAGTTATATTGTCTATTCATGGTCACTGCTTAGAACTTTTTCCTTATAATCTAATGTAATGCTCTTAAATTCTGTCAATATGCAGTTTTTGCTCTGTATGAATCCTCTGTGAAATTGCTGAACTTTGGCGGGTTTCTTCTTATGATGACGACATATTTTGTTCAAATGTTTAGGATTTTGCTGTGTTTATGGTGAAACAAGTGAAAACGTTTGTCAAAATGCCATGATATTTAATGATCAATGTTAATTTTTGGGTCCAATACTTTTGTTGGAAAAAATACCATTCCAATGCTAGCAGCACATTTTGAAACAGGCATGTCTTTATTCTCGTTTTAAATTGTTTACTTGATATCCAGGTGAACTACAGTGCTGTGGAACCTTTATTTTGTTCTTACATATGTCTGAAAAGTGTCAGAAACATATTTGGCTTGGAGAACTGTTCCAAATTGTAGTAGACAACTTGATGTTTCCATCATTTCTCATGTGGTATACAATTCAGATGCCATTTTGAAGACACCCTGTCAAAGATTTAATATTTCTGTCATCTTATATTATGTCTTTCTTTAAAATGAGGGGGGCAGTGGGGTAGTCCAGTGGTTAAAGCGTTTGCTCATCACGCTGGAGACCCGATGTAGCAGGCCATTTCTTCCCCGGTCTGAACTTTCCCTGGGGAGAATCTGGCCTCCCCGGGGAGGTTTTGTCCTAGGATATTCTTTCCCCGGGGAAAGTTTGGGCTAGGCCAAATATGCTGTATTTATGTATAAATGTAATGAAACATTATTCACATGAGCTTGTTTACTAATCCATAATCACTTTTGGTGAATGAAATATGATTCAGATATCCATGGGCCAAGTATACTCCTTACAGAGATGCCAACCCATATGATCGTATTCGTTACGAAAAAATAACACAAAATATGCAAGATGATTCCAGTGAAAAAATACGAATTTTGTAAAAAAAAAATACATTAAAATAGATTATAAAATAGGACGTACCATACACAATAAATTTCAACCACATATTATTCAGTATCAAGCTATATGTGGATACTTAATACTGATTTAGGTGAGTACAATGTTAGTAACAAGTTCTTAGAATATCTCCATTTTTATATTAAATATGAAAATCCTTTGGAAAAGTTAATACTAAATTTGGCCAAAAAATACTAATTTGTGCATCAGTTTTTGGCCAAAATACTAACTTGGCTATGTTAGGGTTGGCATTTCTGCCCTTATCAAACATGTCTTTTGAATTTAGAATAAGGCACTATAGTGGAATGATGGATGATACAGCATTTGATATAGATATTGTGTTGAATTGTTGTGTTCATGTTTACATCTGCTTTCAACTATTAAGTTGATGTTGCCGATGTGGATGCCATATTTAAAGCCATGAGTGAGGGAATAAAATTTTGAATGGATATGGACATCCAAGTAAAAAATTGGTATTTAGTTAAAGTTTAGAATATAGTAATGATTTTGAGATAAGCCAATTTGGAATAAGTGGGGATAAGTAAATTATTGAAATATAAAAATAAGTAAATGATAATATAAAACAATAGCAATGATATAATATATAATAAGGTAAAGATAATTTTTGTAATATTAAATTATTTTTAATAATTTGGAATTAGGGAATTGTGTTGGGTCAAACATGAATATTTTTACCAGTGGTTGTTTATACTTAGTACTCATGTCACAGAGATACATATTGATACAAAACATTTTTCTTTAATTTCCTGTTAAGCTAAAGGGTCTACTACATACATAACAATCAGGTTGATGTTTCACCCTTAATTGTTTGATATTGAATTGAAAGAAATCATCTATTTTCCTCACTCTTATTCGTTAAATATATTTCTGGATTTAGTTTCCCAATAATACAGTTTTGGTTTCTCCAGTGGCAGAGAACTATCCTTTAAAGTTGATTCAAGGGTGGGGAAAGTTTTGCCTAGGACAAACTTTCCCCAGGGAAGATTAAGCCTCTTTTTTTTGGGGGGGGGGGGTCCTTTGGACTAGCCCGGGGAAAGTTTGTCCTGTTACACTGGGTTCGATTTCCCCCACATGGGTACAGTGTGTGAAGCCCATTTCTGGTGTTCCCCACCGTGATATTGCTGGAATATTACTAAAAGCGGCGTAAAACTGTATTCACTCACTGAAACAATGCTTGACTTCCTGTTTGAACTGCTATCATCTATGACAGGTACGAGGCCGTCTGTCTGTGCTGTCTGTATCTCTTCTACATCCTCCTCATGTACTTCAACCTGAGACTGGAGCGCTGGCTAGTCCCAGCCTGCTCGGGCTGTTGTCCAGCTAAGTCCGTCGGAGAGGAGGATGTTCTTTACGACAGAATCAAATCAAATGGTGCTATCTCGGAAGGAGAATTAAGTAAGTCTGACTACATTAGTGGTAAGAATGTGTACAGCAGCTCATTTTTCTTTCTTTGGTTTGTGACATTGATGTATAAATTATGAACATTTGAATGTAACACATGTTATACTTGGGATAACACTTTCTCATTATAACACTTATAAATGTAAATTGGCATGGCTCCCACGGTCAAAAGTTTTGAATGCATAATACAATTTAGAAAGTGGTCAAATGTAAAATTTGGGATAACATTTTCTCCTATCTTTCAGTTGGGGAGCTTTGCCAATTTACACTTACCAGAGGGGTACACAAAGTCTGTGGTCTAGACTGCCAGTTGTCAGACTTCCATTTTGTGGAAGCGGCGATGGCTGAGTGGGTTAGATGGCTGATTTTGTGTGCTGGCAATTAGATGCCTGACTCTGAGGGTGTGGGTTCAAATCCCGTATGGCGCTCAACCCAAAAAAGTACTAGAATCTGTACTTTTCTGAGAAAGTGTTATCCCAAATGTTCTAAATGGCATTGTGTATTATGTGTTATATTTTCAGTTGCAGCAAAAATATTTGAACAATTTAGTAAATATATGTTATTATTTTCAGCTTTACTTCTATCAGTGTCTTCATGTAAATGATAATTCAGATTGTGATTTTTGTAATTTTAATGATTTTTATACAGTGAAATGTGGTATATGTAGATTGTAATGTTCATGAGCTGTTATCTGTGGCCATGACATCTTGTGTATATACTGACGGAATTACCAGGTGGGTGACATTGGGTTGGAATGGTGGTATTTAGTGCAGGATCATAATGGTCTGTCATACAACTATGGCGTCTAAGTTACAAACATGATCTCATCATTATGTTCATATACCTGCGTCTAAGTTACAAACATGATCTCATCATTATATTCATATACCTTGTATGTATTAGAGAATCATCTGTCAGCGTACAAGTTATCACAATGACTGTCGTTTATCAGGCATCAGGAAGGTGATTGGGTGTAAATGAACCATGATCCAGTTTGTAATCTGTGGATGCCTCAGTTACAATATGAGGTGTCAGATCACAGTGCCATCTTCCACTGTGAGAGATAGTGGTCCTGTAAGGCTAATCGATGCATACGGTATTGCCACAAGTAGATATAATGGTATCATAGCTGTGACGACAAACACTGCTGTGTGACTGTGTACCAGCTTTGCATTATTATCAATATTATACTCAATATGTTTTCATCACAATCATTCATTATCAGCCTTTTGAGTTTTTAGCTTAGAAACCGTTTTTGGATCAAATTTGTTGTTGCTAAATACATTTCCGCTTTGGTTGAGTTGAGTTGAAGTTTTACGTCACATCGGCATTGTTTCAGCCATTTAGTGATGGAGCGCAACTTTGGTAAGTGGGGTACTACCTTGTTCTGTCAAAAATAGTACTTAGTACACCTTTCAAGGCTAGGTATGTCATTCTGTTGTCTGGTATAGTGGTGTAGAAGATTGTGGAAGTGATTGCACAGATAACAGAGTATGTTCAATGAGAATGGCCTGGTTTAACTGATTTCACATTTTTGGTGAAGAGTGTTTGTCGTATCTGAAAAAATATCAGCCCATAGTTTAATCCCACCAATCATGCTTCTTATTTTGCTTTCCAGATTTTAAAAATTAAAATCTTGATCCTTTTTATGAAGTCAAATAAAGTCATTTCAGATTGATCTGAGTAAATATTTTGCATCTGTGCCATGTTTCCACAGCAAGTGGTTGTGTAGTTTCACATACTGGTTTCAGCTATGGGTGATGGGGGAAGATGGTGATGAAGCTGTAGAACTGTGTAGCTTCTCATTGTTTTCTTTGATTTAATTGTAGGTCCCTGCATGCATTCCAGTTACAATAACTTCTCTGGACATTCTGCTCAAATGCAAACTGACTAAACAGTGTAACCACTTTTTAAAAATATATTTGGAAAGAGTTATATATTATTTTATATAAGTTATGCATATAACAATAACCCAAAAGCTATTTTTAAGTCTGCACCATTTCTTTTATGTTGCCATGGGCACAATATATAAGCTGGCCCTGCATAGCTTCACTTTTTCCATCATAACCATCACTTGCCAGGTTCTAAATTTCATAATTTCGATGATATTGTTTTGAGTCAAACTGAAATTATGAAATTTAGAACCTGGCAAGTGATGTTATGATGGAAAAAGTGAAGCTATTCAGGGCCAGCTTATATATTGTGCCCATGGCAACATAAAAGAAATGGTGCAGACTTAAAAATAGCTTTTGGGTTATTGTTATATAGGTAAATGACAAATTACAGATGAAAGAAAGCATGCAGTTTAGTTTTGCAATACATGAACCATAACTGAAATAAAGACCACAATATATGTCAGACCAATAACCGTCACTAATATTGAACAATTATTCAATAATTGTCTGGAGCATCCATAGATTGCAAGGTTAGCATGATTGTGGAACAGGCCCACTGACTACTTGTCAAGAGAGTCAATTTGCTGTTGCGGTGACAATGTGTGTCAAATTGCTCCTGTGGTGTGGATCATGGCTCATTAGTGGATCAGACACCAGTAGATCCAGGAAACTCGGGTAGCCATGGTTTCTGCATTATTGCCAACTGCAACTTAAACAGCTTTCACTGAGCACCTCATACACATAGATACATAAATAGGGACACATTGGTAATTGTCTTAGGAATTGGTATGGCCTCCATATTAGTTCTTCAACAGGTGATATTTGCTACTTCAGCTCCATGTGAACAAATCACCAGATTCTTGAACCATACATATGTTGTTTAAAAAATCAAAACATTGTATAAGGCTAGGGGGGGAAACATTTGGGGAGCATGTGTAGTGGATGTAATCATTCACCAAAGTATTAGTATCTAACGGTGTTAATCTGGCATATACATGGTGTGAAGATGTCATAAATGATATTTTCCAACACAATACCTATTCATATTGGCTTACCCAGGTGTGTGATATAGCCATGGCTGTGATGTCCTCTGAGGACAAGCTGACCTCCAGTTTGGCTTACCCAGGTGTGTGATATAGCCATGGCTGTGATGTCCTCTGAGGACCAGCTGACCTCCAGTTTGGCTTACCCAGGTGTGTGATATAGCCATGGCTGTGATGTCCTCTAAGGACCAGCTGACCTCCAGTTTAGCTAACCCAGGTGTGTGATATAGCCATGACTGTGATGTCCTTTGAGGACCAGCTGACCTCCAGTTTAGCTAACCCAGGTGTGTGATATAGCCAAGGCTGTGATGTCCTCTGAGGACCAGCTGACCTCCAGTTTGGCTTTCCCAGGTGTGTGATATAGCCATGGCTGTGATGTCCTCTAAGGACCAGCTGACCTCCAGTTTGGCTTACCCAGGTGTGTGATATAGCCATGGCTGTGATGTCCTCTGAGGACCAGCTGACCTCCAGTTTGGCTTACCCAGGTGTGTGATATAGCCATGGCTGTGATGTCCTCTGAGGACCAGCTGACCTCCAGTTTGGCTTACCGAGGTGTGTGATATAGCCATGACTGTGATGTCCTCTGAGGACCAGCTGACCTCCAGTTTGGCTGGCCGAGGTGTGTGATATAGCCATGGCTGTGATGTCCTCTGAGGACCAGCTGACCTCCAGTTTGGCTGGCCGAGGTGTGTGATATAGCCATGGCTGTGATGTCCTCTGAGGACCAGCTGACCTCCAGTTTGGCTGGCCGAGGTGTGTGATATAGCCATGGCTGTGATGTCCTCTGAGGACCAGCTGACCTCCAGTTTGGCTGGCCGAGGTGTGTGATATAGCCATGGCTGTGATGTCCTCTGAGGACCAGCTGACCTCAGATTGGTTGGTCGAGGCTGTGGTGATAGCACAAAATCTCATTCAGAGATGTTTGAGATGACTTACAATTAGGGCTGGGACGGGTAGGAAAAAATGGAATCAAGTACCCGCATGTACTTACCCGAATCGGAATCGAGTACCGGGAAATGTAAGGAATAAAGCTTTCTGAATATCCAATCACGAGTTGACAGAGATTTTATAAAGAAAAACTTGAAATAATGTCAATAAGACACTGAAACTGAACATAGGCTATTTATTTTACGTCTGTTTAACCAATATAGAGAGAAACACCATTGCCGCTGTTACTGTAACTTGACTCCTCACTGCTCATGCCCAGATATATTACAGATATATTTAATAATAACCTCCATTAATCGGACAATGCCAATGATGCAAATGTTTGTTAAGTCAATAATGAAAAAGACATGTTATTGTCTGCCCTTGCCATTACAGAGTTCTCTCCTTTTCCGGGTGCTGGATTCCTAGAAATAGGACTCGATTCCAGCTGTACCTGACCCGGATTCGAGTACACGAGTACCCGTCCCAGCCCTACTTACAATGTCAGTCACCTGTGAATCTGAAGTTCATTCCATCCACAATATGATAATGCAGAATATTTGCAACAGAGCTGTGTGTACAGTTCATCTTGTTAACTTGATAAAAAATGCTGATTTATAAGCTTGAACATTATGCTTTGTTTTGTGGTAGCTACTTTTTACACCTCTTGAACAATGGGTCATTGTGTAATTGTTTACATGTCAAACGCTTTACATGGATGTAACATCTCCTCCAATGTCATGCCCTAATTGCATCAACTGTGGCAGTTCCTGATGTTGTTCCTGAAGGGGAAGAAGCTGATCACATGCTGTTAACAGGAAGTGTACATTGTTTGATCCTCGCCCATAACTACATACATCACTGACCTTTACTTGGAGAATGTTTATGAATAATATTCTAATGTGTGTCCATGCCTTCTGGAATGCTGTGGGTGTCTGGCTATGACAGTGGAGACATCATGTAGGATGATATGGGTTTGTTGTATAGACAATAACAGTGGAAACATTGTGTATGATGGAGCCAGATTCCCTTCTCTCCTTCCTACACAGGGCCAGATCCTTCCTCTTCTCTCCTACAAATCACACTATTCCAAATATACTTTATATATTTACAAAGTTGGGTTTTTTTAATAAAAAGCATGAACTAGAAAAGGAAAACCTGTGATAATTACGAAGTGACTGATATATGTATTGATAAACTGTCACTCAGTGTAAGGTTGTCAAAAGTTGGATGTGGATTAAACCTATGGTGTATCACAGGCAGTGTAAGGTTGTCAAAAGTTGGATGTGGATTAAACCTATGGTGTGTCACAGGCAGTGCAAGGTTGTCAAAAGTTGGATGTGGATTAAACCTATGGTGTGTCACAGGCAGTGTAAGGTTGTCAAAAGTTGGATGTGGATTAAACCTGTGGTGTATCACAGGCAGTGTAAGGTTGTCAAAAGTTGGATGTGGATTAAACCTATGGTGTGTCACAGGCAGTGCAAGGTTGTCAAAAGTTGGATGTGGATTAAACCTATGGTGTGTCACAGGCAGTGCAAGGTTGTCAAAAGTTGGATGTGGATTAAACCTATGGTGTGTCACAGGCAGTGCAAGGTTGTCAAAAGTTGGATGTGGATTAAACCTATGGTGTGTCACAGGCAGTGTAAATGTGATGATAGGATAATGTGTGGACTTCACATTCCCAGTATAGGTTTCTTGTGCCTTGATCTTCCTTCAGCAGATCATTGTCTGATGACAGGAATGTAAATTCTCAACTACACAATGTTGGGAAAGAAAATTATTAACATCTTAACATCTTTTGGGTGTGTCTTTGTGGTAAAGTCGCCATAACAGTTTCAGTGCAGTCATTAGTGTTCAATCTTCACAGGATTGATATGTAAATGGCTTTGAAGAGCATCATAGAGCAAATTGCAAACACCTAAACTGGACAGGGCACTGGGTCAGCTAATGATAAACCTGATTTCCTAATGACATGATACTGGCTAAAGGGAGCAAGTACTGATCTATATGTTATCTGCTGTCAGATGAGCAGATGAGGAGCTTGAGCTGGAGCTGCAGTAGAGATGCATTAGAACCACATATCACTCTCTTGGGCTGCATTGAGAGGCTTTAACAAGGACGGGTTACTAGATACTTGAGGCAGCATGTCTGCCTGATAGGCAACACAGACTGGGACAAGACTGAATAATCCCCTTACTAGGCCATGGCTGGTTGCAGATGCTATATGGATGTTCTACCATATTGTGTTGTAGATCACTGCCCCGAGTCGATGCAAATGCTCCCTCTTACCTCTGACTGTGAATCAGATGACGGTTCGTACACAGATACCAACACCTTTGTGAAGCGGGCACCTCCATCTGCATGTATTTAGCTTCCACTTATTTCAGGATAAATAAAGATTAACTGCAATGCGAAGTTTGATTTTGGCAGCAATTTTCACGCAATTCTTTTTCTTATAAATCCTGGGAAAGTTGTATTTTTTTTCACAAATCAATATTCCTTGATTTCATACATACTGGTTCTGTGTTTTATATAGCATATATAACCTAGTTGATGTACTGGTGAAGGATTTCTTCATGTAGACACTTGTATATACCCTGGGAGCATTATGTTTTTCTTTCTAATGTTTTTCAATAAAGGTGTCTAAATCATATCTTTTCAAAAAGTCATCATTCATGTTCTGTGAAGATGCAAGAAAGGGCATGATCAGTGAGAGGTCTTTTATCCATTGCAGCTCCACACAGGGAAGAGGATGAGCCTGCGGGGTTGTGTGAAGTTCCAAGTGGACGCTGGAAGAAGCTGCTTTGGTTCGTCTCTCTACCGCTATGTGCCATATTGTTCATATCTGTGCCCGACTGCCGAAAACAAGCATGGAAAAAATGGTTCCTGTTGACATTTCTCATGTCATTAGTTTGGTTGTCTCTCTTGTCATTTTTCATGGTGTGGATGATAACAGTTATAGGTAAGTTTACGTCACTTCTCCGACTATATTTCTCCATCATTTGATTCTTTTTGTCAGTGGAACACGCATGCCCAATTCATCAGCTGTGAAGTGTAGCATCGTTTTGGCACCCCAAAAACCTATGATTGTGTGTAAGAAACATGAATCCCAGGTATGTCCTGGACCCGATGTCTCGAAACAAACGTAAGTCTGAGTTTTGACTTAAGTTAAAATTTTTACTCAAATTTGAGAAAATGCAATTCCCAGAATGAACTGAAGTCGATATTAAACTCAAACATAGTAGACAATTAGAGTTTGGTGGATAGATTACTTAAGTTGTTGGACTTTTTCATTTATAAAATGCACTAGAGTTAAAAATTCAGCTGTTTCAAATTCAAACTCAGTTTGAAATTTGAGTAAAAACTTAAGTTTGTTTCGAGAAATCGGGGCCTGATTGTGTTTCTAGGTTTCTCTGCATCATCTTCATGTGTATGGGTTCCTGGAAAGTAGAGGCAATGGGGTAGCCTAGTGGTTAAAGTGTTTGCTTGCACGCCGAAGGCCAAGGTTTCGATTCCCCATATGGATCCAATGTATGAAGCCCATTTCTGAAATCGTCCGCTATAACACAGTTGTGTCATTTCTCACAGAATAAGGGTCGGTGGGGTAGCCTTGTGGTTAAAGCATTCACTCTTCACACTAGAGACCCGGGTTCGATTCCCCACATGGGTACAATGTGTGAAGTCCATTTCTGGTGTCCCCACCATGATATTGCAGGAATATAGCTAAAAGCATAAAACTAAACTCACTAACTCACTCACTCTCACAGCATGAAGGAAGTGTATGAGGTGTTCAGTCCTGATGATGTGACGTTCATTACCCACATAACAAAATAATGTCATTGTTCCTTGATATAAAGAATATTACATATTTATGGGCATGAAGTAAATCTTTATATTTAAGAAAGTGGGTCTTTTCAATTTGGATGATTCCCAAAACAGGTAGAAAGATATCAAATTTATTCTCAACCAACCAACTGTTAGTTGAATGAAGGCAGGAAGATTTGTCTCCCTTTAACTGTTACTGCGTTATACTCCAGCAAGGGTAAACATAGCTGTTTGGCAAGGATAGGGACGTACTTGCTACATGTATGCTAGACTGACATCTGGGCTTATAAATGTACATATTTTACAGATAAAACAGTTTATAGAATTATCTTAATGAGATATGATAAAAATGAGCCCAAAGAGTTTCTTTATTTCCATTCCTGAAACTACAGTAATGTAGCATTGGCAAATGTGAAATATTTGTGTGGACTGTGGTGGATATAGTTGTTTCAGAGTCTGTATGACAGACTAGGTCTGTGTAAATAATTTGAGGAGCAATTAGTGTTTAGTGGTCATGGGATTTTTGTTGAACAACCAAATGATTTAGCTGCTCCCAAATTGTGCCCATCTGTAATTAAACTCATATCAGAGCTGTTATATTTGGCTTGTCAGAACAGTTGTTTCTCAGTATGTATGACTTCTTGATGTGATGATCACATGGGTTGATGGTTGTTTGTCCTCACAGGTTACACAGCTAATATTCCTGACAGTATTATGGGTCTGACCTTTGTTGCCTTTGGAGTGAGCCTCCCGGATGTTGTGGCATCGCTCATAGTTGTTAGAGAAGGTACGTGCAGGTGTGGCTGATGTGTTAGTATCTGGCTGATCAGAATAGAAAATAATTAATCATTATGATAATTAGTCCATTTATATTGTGCTAAATCCACACCAACGGCATGCTCATAGCGCAGACAGTTCATTATCACACCAGATAACCCGAGCTGTCTGTGAGGCTCGAGAAGGTTATTATCACATGACTTATACCACCAGGTATACATACCCATTTTCTGCTGGGTGAACAGATGCAATTTGGAACAAACTCACCTGCCTAAGGTGAGACCACATGTACCACATGTGCTCCGTTGTGGGGAGGGCAGCTGCCCTAGAAACTCTCAGGAGTCGAGCTGCCAAACACGATCACCCAAGGACTGTCCGTGACCAATGTTGCTTAACGTCAACTGATTTGTGACCTGAGGTCAACGCACAGGACCACACACCACCGCCAGTTCTTTTGTTGCTGTAGATGCACATGATCAGCAAAAAGTTAATACACAAATTCCTATCGATCAGGCCTGTAGGATCAGAGTTTCACCCTAATGTTTAACTCAAGGTTTGCTCTTTGGGCTGACCTTACTGATACTTCAGTAGAATTGCTGAAAAGTGACTGTCACATAATTAAGTCAGTGCTAGCTGACTCACCTAGCCAGCAATGTTTTGAGACATACTGAATTCCAGTCTCCCTTGGGGATCGGTGGGGTAGCCTAGTGGTTAGAGTATTCGCTCATCATGCTGAAGACCCAGGTTCAATTCCCCACATGGGTACAATGTGTGTGGTCCATTTCTGGTGTTCCCCACTGTGATATTGCTGGAATATTGTTAAAAGCGGCGTAAAACCACACTCACTCACTGTTATGTTTAGCCATAAGGCATACAAAAACTAAACTCACTCACTCTCTCCAGTCTCCCTGGAAAGTAGCTGCTGGTCATTGATACTGGAGAAGATGGATGCAGTGTGGTAATATTTTTAACAGAGAGGGTGATGAAAACTACTGTTCCATTTGCTGCAATAACACATATGAGCTTATTTTGGCCAACATAGAACATTGGAGTTGTGTCTGGTGTTGGTGCAAACTGATTGTGATGTTGGTTTTCTTATTTTCAGGATTAGGGGATATGGCTGTTTCTAATGCAATAGGAAGCAATGTGTTTGACATCCTTGTATGCCTTGGAGTACCTTGGCTGCTGCAAACAGCAGTCCTCCGACCAGGGTCTGAGGTTCAGGTTTACAGTGCAGGTAGGCAGCTATCTTACATTGTCAGTTTATGTCAGGTATGAGTTAATATCCCTTCAGTTCACATTTTGCCATAGATGTCTACATTCTCAAAGCCCAATGTTCTCTAGTCACACCTACTATTACCCACTATCACCCAGCGTTTCTGTTTTTGTGTGACTATGCTCCATGCTTGATATCACCCAGCCTCACTCAGTATATCACATCTTTTTTGTATGTATTCCAGGGGTTTGAAAGACCCCAGTGATAGTTTTCTATGTATTCCCAAGTCTTGACCTTGTAACCAGCCTCACCCAATGTAACACAGTTGTCTATGTACTCCCAAGTCTTGACATACACCAGCCTCACCCAATGTAATCCAGTTTTCTATGTATTCCCGAGTCTTGACATACTCCAGCCTCACCCAATGTAACACAGTTTTCTATGTATTCCCAAGTCTTGACATACTCCAGCCTCACCCAGTGTAACACAGTTTTCTATGTATTCCCAAGTCTTGACATACTCCAGCCTCACCCAATGTAACACAGTTTTCTATGTATTCCCAAGTCTTGACATACTCCAGCCTCACCCAATGTAACACAGTTTTCTATGTATTCCCAAGTCTTGACATACTCCAGCCTCACCCAATGTAACACAGTTTTCTATGTATTCCCAAGTCTTGACATACTCCAGCCTCACCCAATGTAACACAGTTTTCTATGTATTCCCAAGTCTTGACATACTCCAGCCTCACCCAATGTAACACAGTTTTCTATGTATTCCCAAGTCTTGACATACTCCAGCCTCACCCAATGTAACACAGTTTTCTATGTATTCCCAAGTCTTGACATACTCCAGCCTCACCCAATGTAACACAGTTTTCTATGTATTCCCAAGTCTTGACATACTCCAGCCTCACCCAGTGTAACACAGTTTTCTATGTATTCCCAAGTCTTGACATACTCCAGCCTCACCCAATGTAACACAGTTTTCTATGTATTCCCAAGTCTTGACATACTCCAGCCTCACCCAATGTAACACAGTTTTCTATGTATTCCCAAGTCTTGACATACTCCAGCCTCACCCAATGTAACACAGTTTTCTATGTATTCCCAAGTCTTGACATACTCCAGCCTCACCCAGTGTAACACAGTTTTCTATGTCTTCCCAAGGCTTGACATACTCCAGCCTCACCCAATGTAACACAGTTTTCTATGTATTCCCAAGTCTTGACATACTCCAGCCTCACCCAATGTAACACAGTTTTCTATGTCTTCCCAAGTCTTGACATACTCCAGCCTCACCCAGTGTAACACAGTTTTCTATGTCTTCCCAAGGCTTGACATACTCCAGCCTCACCCAGTGTAACACAGTTTTCTATGTATTCCCAAGTCTTGACATACTCCAGCCTCACCCAGTGTAACACAGTTTTCTATGTCTTCCCAAGGCTTGACATACTCCAGCCTCACCCAGTGTAACACAGTTTTCTATGTATTCCCAAGTCTTGACATACTCCAGCCTCACCCAGTGTAACACAGTTTTCTATGTATTCCCAAGTCTTGACATACTCCAGCCTCACCCAGTGTAACACAGTTTTCTATGTCTTCCCAAGGCTTGACATACTCCAGCCTCACCCAGTGTAACACAGTTTTCTATGTATTCCCAAGTCTTGACATACTCCAGCCTCACCCAATGTAACACAGTTTTCTATGTATTCCCAAGTCTTGACATACTCCAGCCTCACCCAATGTAACACAGTTTTCTATGTATTCCCAAGGCTTGACATACTCCAGCCTCACCCAGTGTAACACAGTTTTCTATGTATTCCCAAGTCTTGACATACTCCAGCCTCACCCAGTGTAACACAGTTTTCTATGTCTTCCCAAGGCTTGACATACTCCAGCCTCACCCAGTGTAACACAGTTTTCTATGTATTCCCAAGTCTTGACATACTCCAGCCTCACCCAGTGTAACACAGTTTTCTATGTATTCCCAAGTCTTGACATACTCCAGCCTCACCCAATGTAACACAGTTTTCTATGTATTCCCAAGTCTTGACATACTCCAGCCTCACCCAATGTAACACAGTTTTCTATGTATTCCCAAGTCTTGACATACTCCAGCCTCACCCAGTGTAACACAGTTTTCTATGTCTTCCCAAGGCTTGACATACTCCAGCCTCACCCAGTGTAACACAGTTTTCTATGTCTTCCCAAGTCTTGACATACTCCAGCCTCACCCAATGTAACACAGTTTTCTATGTATTCCCAAGGCTTGACATACTCCAGCCTCACCCAATGTAACACAGTTTTCTATGTATTCCCAAGTCTTGACATACTCCAGCCTCACCCAGTGTAACACAGTTTTCTATGTATTCCCAAGTCTAGACATACTCCAGCCTCACCCAATGTAACACAGTTGTCTATGTATTCTCAAGGCTTGACTTACTCCAGCCTCACCCAATGTAACACAGTTTTCTATGTATTCTCAAGGCTTGACCTTGTAACCAGCCTCACCCAATGTAACACAGTTTTCTATGTATTCTCAAGGCTTGACCTTGTAACCAGCCTCACCCAATGTAACACAGTTTTCTATGTATTCCCAAGTCTTGACATACTCCAGCCTCACCCAATGTAACACAGTTTTCTATGTATTCCCAAGTCTTGACATACTCCAGCCTCACCCAATGTAACACAGTTTTCTATGTCTTCCCAAGTCTTGACCTTGTAACCAGCCTCACCCAATGTAACACAGTTTTCTATGTATTCTCAAGGCTTGACCTTGTAACCAGCCTCACCCAATGTAACACAGTTTTCTATGTATTCTCAAGGCTTGACCTTGTAACCAGCCTCACCCAATGTAACACAGTTTTCTATGTATTCCCAAGTCTTGACATACTCCAGCCTCACCCAATGTAACACAGTTTTCTATGTATTCTCAAGGCTTGACCTTGTAACCAGCCTCACCCAGTGTAACACAGTTTTCTATGTATTCCCAAGTCTTGACATACTCCAGCCTCACCCAGTGTAACACAGTTTTCTATGTATTCCCAAGTCTTGACATACTCCAGCCTCACCCAGTGTAACACAGTTTTCTATGTATTCCCAAGTCTTGACATACTCCAGCCTCACCCAGTGTAACACAGTTTTCTATGTATTCCCAAGTCTTGACATACTCCAGCCTCACCCAATGTAACACAGTTTTCTATGTATTCCCAAGTCTTGACATACTCCAGCCTCACCCAGTGTAACACAGTTTTCTATGTATTCCCAAGTCTTGACATACTCCAGCCTCACCCAGTGTGTAACACAGTTTTCTATGTATTCCCAAGTCTTGACATACTCCAGCCTCACCCAATGTAACACAGTTTTCTATGTATTCCCAAGTCTTGACATACTCCAGCCTCACCCAATGTAACACAGTTTTCTATGTATTCCCAAGGCTTGACATACTCCAGCCTCACCCAGTGTAACACAGTTTTCTATGTATTCCCAAGTCTTGACATACTCCAGCCTCACCCAGTGTAACACAGTTTTCTATGTCTTCCCAAGGCTTGACATACTCCAGCCTCACCCAGTGTAACACAGTTTTCTATGTATTCCCAAGTCTTGACATACTCCAGCCTCACCCAGTGTAACACAGTTTTCTATGTATTCCCAAGTCTTGACATACTCCAGCCTCACCCAATGTAACACAGTTTTCTATGTATTCCCAAGTCTTGACATACTCCAGCCTCACCCAATGTAACACAGTTTTCTATGTATTCCCAAGTCTTGACATACTCCAGCCTCACCCAGTGTAACACAGTTTTCTATGTCTTCCCAAGGCTTGACATACTCCAGCCTCACCCAGTGTAACACAGTTTTCTATGTCTTCCCAAGTCTTGACATACACCAGCCTCACCCAATGTAACACAGTTTTCTATGTATTCCCAAGGCTTGACATACTCCAGCCTCACCCAATGTAACACAGTTTTCTATGTATTCCCAAGTCTTGACATACTCCAGCCTCACCCAGTGTAACACAGTTTTCTATGTATTCCCAAGTCTAGACATACTCCAGCCTCACCCAATGTAACACAGTTGTCTATGTATTCTCAAGGCTTGACTTACTCCAGCCTCACCCAATGTAACACAGTTTTCTATGTATTCTCAAGGCTTGACCTTGTAACCAGCCTCACCCAATGTAACACAGTTTTCTATGTATTCTCAAAGCTTGACCTTGTAACCAGCCTCACCCAATGTAACACAGTTTTCTATGTATTCCCAAGTCTTGACATACTCCAGCCTCACCCAATGTAACACAGTTTTCTATGTATTCCCAAGTCTTGACATACTCCAGCCTCACCCAATGTAACACAGTTTTCTATGTCTTCCCAAGTCTTGACCTTGTAACCAGCCTCACCCAATGTAACACAGTTTTCTATGTATTCTCAAGGCTTGACCTTGTAACCAGCCTCACCCAATGTAACACAGTTTTCTATGTATTCTCAAAGCTTGACCTTGTAACCAGCCTCACCCAATGTAACACAGTTTTCTATGTATTCCCAAGTCTTGACATACTCCAGCCTCACCCAATGTAACACAGTTTTCTATGTATTCCCAAGTCTTGACCTTGTAACCAGCCTCACCCAGTGTAACACAGTTTTCTATGTATTCCCAAGTCTTGACATACTCCAGCCTCACCCAGTGTAACACAGTTTTCTATGTATTCCCAAGTCTTGACATACTCCAGCCTCACCCAGTGTAACACAGTTTTCTATGTATTCCCAAGTCTTGACATACTCCAGCCTCACCCAATGTAACACAGTTTTCTATGTATTCCCAAGTCTTGACATACTCCAGCCTCACCCAGTGTAACACAGTTTTCTATGTATTCCCAAGTCTTGACATACTCCAGCCTCACCCAATGTAACACAGTTTTCTATGTATTCTCAAGGCTTGACATACTCCAGCCTCACCCAATGTAATCAAGTTTTCTATGTATTCTCAAGGCTTGACCTTGTAACCAGCCTCACCCAATGTAACACAGTTTTCTATGTATTCTCAAGGCTTGACCTTGTAACCAGCCTCACCCAATGTAACACAGTTTTCTATGTATTCCCAAGTCTTGACATACTCCAGCCTCACCCAGTGTAACACAGTTTTCTATGTATTCCCAAGTCTTGACATACTCCAGCCTCACCCAATGTAACACAGTTTTCTATGTATTCTCAAGGCTTGACCTTGTAACCAGCCTCACCCAATGTAACACAGTTTTCTATGTATTCCCAAGTCTTGACCTTGTAACCAGCCTCACCCAGTGTAACACAGTTTTCTATGTATTCCCAAGTCTTGACATACTCCAGCCTCACCCAATGTAACACAGTTTTCTATGTATTCCCAAGTCTTGACATACTCCAGCCTCATCCAGTGTAACACAGTTTTCTATGTATTCCCAAGTCTTGACATACTCCAGCCTCACCCAGTGTAACACAGTTTTCTATGTATTCCCAAGTCTTGACATACTCCAGCCTCACCCAGTGTAACACAGTTTTCTATGTATTCCCAAGTCTTGACATACTCCAGCCTCACCCAGTGTAACACAGTTTTCAATGTATTCCCAAGTCTTGACATACTCCAGCCTCACCCAGTGTAACACAGTTTTCTATGTATTCCCAAGTCTAGACACATACAGCCTCACCCAATGTAACACAGTTTTCTATGTATTCCCAAGTCTTGACATACTCCAGCCTCACCCAATGTAACACAGTTTTCTATGTATTCCCAAGTCTTGACATACTCCAGCCTCACCCAATGTAACACAGTTTTCTATGTATTCCCAAGTCTTGACATACTCCAGCCTCACCCAGTGTAACACAGTTTTCTATGTATTCCCAAGTCTTGACATACTCCAGCCTCACCCAATGTAACACAGTTTTCTATGTATTCCCAAGTCTTGACATACTCCAGCCTCACCCAGTGTAACACAGTTTTCTATGTATTCCCAAGTCTTGACATACTCCAGCCTCACCCAGTGTAACACAGTTTTCTATGTCTTCCCAAGGCTTGACATACTCCAGCCTCACCCAATGTAACACAGTTTTCTATGTATTCCCAAGTCTTGACATACTCCAGCCTCACCCAATGTAACACAGTTTTCTATGTATTCCCAAGTCTAGACATACTCCAGCCTCACCCAATGTAACACAGTTTTCTATGTATTCCCAAGTCTTGACATACTCCAGCCTCACCCAGTGTAACACAGTTTTCTATGTATTCCCAAGTCTTGACATACTCCAGCCTCACCCAGTGTAACACAGTTTTCTATGTATTCTCAAGTCTTGACATACTCCAGCCTCACCCAATGTAACACAGTTTTCTATGTATTCCCAAGGCTTGACCTACTCCAGCCTGACCCTGCTGTCCACGGTCGGGTTCCTGCTGATTGCTACACATCTGAATGGGTGGAAGCTGGACAAGAAGTACGGGGCAGTCCTGCTGGTGGTTTACGTGATCTACACAGTGCTAGCCTCTATGTATGAACTCAATATATTCGGCTATTTCCATCCTGTGGAGTGCCCCAGCAACTATTAAATGATTATGTGACTCATAGTTAAAGGTTAAGTGTTTGCATGTATATCTTTGATACAAGTTAAGGAGGTGATATTAAACATGTTCTTGTAAGAAATATCTGTGGTGTAATGTGAGTCACAAGTATGAGCCAAACTATTGAAGCAAACATAGAATGGCAAAAATCAAAATGTTGAACATGATTGTATCAAATGGAGCATTGTCATTGTCACTTTCTACCTTAACCGCGGTGTAAGATCTGTATCTGAGCAGCCACAACATGGGTATTGGCTGAAAGCAGATGCAAAACATATAACTGATATATTTCTCTCTACGTTAGGGACCATGTGGACTTGGGGAAATCTAAGACAGCTGACTATGAACTCTAGCTGGTTTTATTGTCTCTTCATAAAGATGGTTAAAGGAACCAAAATTATGTTTTTAAGTAGCGATACTAGGTTTCACTCTCTTATATCCATACAGGTTTATAGTGCTGAAGTGATGATAACTTGTTATAGGAAGCATGGTGTGCATCCATCCAGCATCTTGTAGCTACTGGCTGAAGTGATGATAACTTGTTATAGGAAGCATGATGTGCATCCATCCAGCATCTTGTAGCTACTGGCTGAAGGGATGATAACTTGTTATAGGAAGCATGGTGGGCATCCATCCAGCATCTTGTAGCTACTGGCTGAAGTGATGATAACTTGTTATAGGAAGCATGGTGGGCATCCATCCAGCATCTTGTAGCTACTGGCTGAAGTGATGATAACTTGTTATAGGAAGCATGGTGGGCATCCATCCAGCATCTTGTAGCTACTGGCTGAAGGGATGATAACTTGTTATAGGAAGCATGATGTGCATCCATCCAGCATCTTGTAGCTACTGGCTGAAGGGATGATAACTTGTTATAGGAAGCATGGTGTGCATCCATCCAGCATCTTGTAGCTACTGGCTGAAGGGATGATAACTTGTTATAGGAAGCATGGTGTGCATCCATCCAGCATCTTGTAGCTACTGGCTGAAGTGATGATAACTTGTTATAGGAAGCATGATGTGCATCCATCCAGCATCTTGTAGCTACTGGCTGAAGGGATGATAACTTGTTATAGGAAGCATGGTGTGCATCCATCCAGCATCTTGTAGCTACTGGCTGAAGTGATGATAACTTGTTATAGGAAGCATGGTGTGCATCCATCCAGCATCTTGTAGCTACTGGCTGAAGGGATGATAACTTGTTATAGGAAGCATGGTGTGCATCCATCCAGCATCTTGTAGCTACTGGCTGAAGGGATGATAACTTGTTATAGGAAGCATGGTGTGCATCCATCCAGCATCTTGTAGCTACTGGCTGAAGGGATGATAACTTGTTATAGGAAGCATGGTGTGCATCCATCCAGCATCTTGTAGCTACTGGCTGAAGGGATGATAACTTGTTATAGGAAGCATGGTGGGCATCCATCCAGCATCTTGTAGCTACTGGCTGAAGTGATGATAACTTGTTATAGGAAGCATGGTGTGCATCCATCCAGCATCTTGTAGCTACTGGCTGAAGGGATGATAACTTGTTATAGGAAGCATGGTGTGCATCCATCCAGCATCTTGTAGCTACTGGCTGAAGTGATGATAACTTGTTATAGGAAGCATGGTGTGCATCCATCCAGCATCTTGTAGCTACTGGCTGAAGGGATGATAACTTGTTATAGGAAGCATGGTGGGCATCCATCCAGCATCTTGTAGCTACTGGCTGAAGGGATGATAACTTGTTATAGGAAGCATGGTGTGCATCCATCCAGCATCTTGTAGCTACTGGCTGAAGGGATGATAACTTGTTATAGGAAGCATGGTGTGCATCCATCCAGCATCTTGTAGCTACTGGCTGAAGGGATGCTTCTGTTTTATGTATTGATGTTAAAGGTAATCTCGTTGTCATGGAGATGACATGTGGTATGTCTTTTAAGTTAGCATGCATACCTACAGCGTGTTCAGCTTGACCTGAGCTACTCTACATATGCATGACCCGGGAGGTCAAATGGCACAAACGGCAGGTGGAGTTATCTTCATTAAATAGGGGAGCAGAGAGTGTTATTAATGTTGCTTCGTGAGAAGCATGTATACATGGATTCGCTACAGAACAAAAAACTTGTCCCGGAAAACAACACTTATGGAATAACAATCATTTCATGTTTTAATTGAATTGTTTATACAATCATATGCTATCTAGTTTAATTTGCTAACTTTGCAACGTACAGACATCAGTTACTTTCACAATCCAATTCACTCTCACTGTCACTCTCTACACCAATTCAACTATCACTTTTTCTATTTCATGTTCAACTGCAATGATTCTGTCCCAGTAGTCGCCTAAAAGCCAGAATCGGAAACATTAAACCATCTGTAGCTTCTTTTTAAATAAATTTAGGACGATTTCTCGACACTGAGATGTCAAACGGCGACACTGTCTCGACTGTCCGGACATGTTGACAATCTATTGACAAAGGTGCACCCCTTCACAATAATAGACCCAACCAGCTGTGACACGGTCACGCAATGCATTAGTAATCACTTCATCAGGTCAAGCTGAACAACCTGTATATCCATAGAAATTCATTGTGAGTCAGTGTTTACTGGTTCAACTAAGGGATGAAGCATGTGTTATCTTACATTTAGATTTAGAAAACATTTACATCTGTTGTTGAGAGAATCAGGTTTCAGTTGTCTCTGAGGTTTGTCTTGTACCAAACTTGCTGCATCAGTTCAATGCAGACCAAAAAGAGTTGCTGGTTGGCACTGGCAGGAGTCCAGGAACCGGTTGTTATATTCACTGGCTGTGTTTCCCTCTTCAAACTTGGAGACAGTTTATTTTGCCTTATATGTTACTTGTTCAGAAGCTGTCTCACTTCTGTAACATTTGTTTGATATGTTGTTGTTGTTATTCATTTAATTAAATTAAGGTGAGCTCAATGGAACTAGAAGCTGTTGTTATTGTGTCTTAAGATGTATGCTGGCCTGGACATGATGATCCCATCTTGCAGTAACTAATAGATAAGCCGACCTCCTACAGATTGCATTTTTGGGTCCTCAAAATTCGGCTTGTCTATAGTAATATGCAGTACCAGTAAAGGTCTTCACCAGATGGTACAGGGTTATCCTGTATGGGTGAGGTCTTCACCAGATGGTACAGGGTTATCCTGTATGGGTGAGGCCTTCACCAGATGGTACAGGGTTATCCTGTATGGGAGTGAGGTCTTCACCAGATGGTACAGGGTTATCCTGTATGGGTGATGTCTTCACCAGATGGTACAGGGTTATCCTGTATGGGTGAGGTCTTCACCAGATGGTACAGGGTTATCCTGTATGGGAGTGAGGTCTTCACCAGATGGTACAGGGTTATCCTGTATGGGTGAGGTCTTCACCAGATGGTACAGGGTTATCCTGTATGGGTGAGGTCTTCACCAGATGGTACAGGGTTATCCTGTATGGGTGATGTCTTCACCAGATGGTACAGGGTTATCCTGTATGGGTGAGGTCTTCACCAGATGGTACAGGGTTATCCTGTATGGGAGTGAGGTCTTCACCAGATGGTACAGGGTTATCCTGTATGGGAGTGAGGTCTTCACCAGATGGTACAGGGTTATCCTGTATGGGAGTGAGGCCTTCACCAGATGGTACAGGGTTATCCTGTATTGGTGATGTCTTCACCAGATGGTACAGGGTTATCCTGTATGGGTGAGGTCTTCACCAGATGGTACAGGGTTATCCTGAATCAGTCAGACCCTCCTGGATTCCCCAGCAAATTAATGTAAATTCTGCATCCCATTTTTTTCAAAATTCTGCAGAAAAATCTGCAGTTAAATACCCAACAGAAAATGATAAAGAATTTCAGTCTTTAATTCTTATACACAAAGCTGTAACTGGTTTAGAGCTTCATGACATTCAAGGTACAGCCAGCAGTTCGTTTTTTCTTGCAAGATGATTTTTAAATTTACAAAGATGGTCTGAAACAGTACTCTTACGAGTGTGATCAGGAAAGATATTACAAACTCTACAAAATGTTATTTTGTTTGATAGTCATTCTTGTGATAATGATTCAACTTTCATAATAAGTAAATTCCATGGCGTATTCTGCATGAAAATGCGTTTTCCGCAGACCAGACGCTTTTCTGCATTAAAAGGTAATTTCCGTGATTTATTCTGCAACTGCGGAATCCAGGAGGGACTGATGAGTTAGGTCTTGACCAGAAGGTAAAGGGTTATCCGGTATAAGTGAGGTCTTCACCAGATGGTGCAGGTAGACCAGCATATCAAATGCAGTAACTGCCGGATGGGCTGAACATGTTTCAAATCAGTACTTGTGAAAACAGCTTATGTTATCATATCAATTGTGTTCTGTTATATCCTTCTGTTTTTTCCACAGGCATTTGTTATTATTGTTTATGTTAAAGAGCATATATCGTACACTGGCTTCAGGGAGGTTTACTTGTCTTTGAGAGCATATGTTCCTAACAGGTGGTTACATTGTTTACCTGTCTTTGAGAGCATATGTTCCTCACAGGTGGTTACATTGTTTACCTGTCTTTGAGAGCATATGTTCCTCACAGGTGGTTACATTGTTTACCTGTCTTTGAGAGCATATGTCCCTCACAGGTGGTTACATTGTTTACTTGTCTTTGAGAGCATATGTTCCTCACAGGTGGTTACATTGTTTACCTGTCTTTGAGAGCATATGTTCCTCACAGGTGGTTACATTGTTTACCTGTCTTTGAGAGCATATGTTCCTCACAGGTGGTTACATTGTTTACCTGTCTTTGAGAGCATATGTTCCTCACAGGTGGTTACATTGTTTACCTGTCTTTGAGAGCATATGTTCCTCACAGGTGGTTACATTGTTTACCTGTCTTTGAGAGCATATGTCCCTCACAGGTGGTTACATTGTTTACTTGTCTTTGAGAGCATATGTTCCTCACAGGTGGTTACATTGTTTACCTGTCTTTGAGAGCATATGTCCCTCACAGGTGGTTACATTGTTTACTTGTCTTTGAGAGCATATGTTCCTCACAGGTGGTTACATTGTTTACTTGTCTTTGAGAGCATATGTTCCCCACAGGTGGTTACATTGTTTACCTGTCTTTGAGAGCATATGTTCCTCACAGGTGGTTAGATTTTTGTTTACCTGTTTTTAGAAAATATTTACAACATATGGGATAGGGAGGTTTACTTCACTTTAAGAACATATATACAACACTTGGACTGAGGGAGGTTTACCTGTTTTTGTGAACCTATGTAGAGTGTTAGGGAAGCTGTGGTTGATATTAAAGAGCATATATATAGCACTGAGGGTATGGGAGTTACCTGTCTTCAAGAGCATTTATCCTCCACTTGAGGAGCAGGGAGATGAGCCACCATGCATCAAAAATGTCAATAAAATAGTGATGACAACCAAAAGCATCTGTGCAGAAGAGGAGGGGTCACGGTGGGGTAGCCTAGTGTTAAAAGCATTTGCTTGTCATGCCGAAGGCCCAGGTTCGATTCCCCACATTGGTACAAAGTGTGAAGCCCATTTCTGGTGTCCCCTGCCATGATATTGCTGGAATATTGCTAAAAGCGGCATAAAACCCAATTCACTCACTCACTCATTCTCTTGTCATAAGACTGTATGGTGCCGTCTCCATAATGAACAACTATATCAATGGCTTGACATAGCTGTCTAGTTTTCAGTCATGCTTGTTTGACCTCTATTGATACTAAATCTTCTCACAACTCGTGGTATGCAACAAGGTCTTGAAATAATGGAATTTTAAAACTCATGTGTGGATCATTCATGTTTGGATCAATTATATGTGGATCAGTTATATAATGGAGGATACCTGACTTCAAGAGCACGTATCCTACACTGGGCATGTATGGAATTTAAAAAATTATACATGGATCAATTTTGATGGCAATTGAACTGGATATCAAAATTGACAAAGCTCTAAAATGTGTAATTAATTTGAGTGAATTATTTCCTTTTTCAAATGCAAGAAAAATCTTAGTTTTCTATTTCATAAAGACTCTTATATTGAAGATAGTCTGGTTTGCAATAAAATAAAGCCTCCTGACTCGACTTTTACATCTTTCATGCAGCAAGTACTTTGATAAACCACCCACATTTTGTAAACAAATGGTCCTACCCTCAAAATATCAGGACCATTCTTTCAGATCATTGGATATCAAGATGACTCCAGAACGGCTCCCTGGCCTCCTAAGTATACATAGAAAAGGAAGATATTTCTGTTAGGTGTGGCCTGTTGGGGGATTGAACACTTGGTGTTTGTTTAACTTTCTATACCTCATTAACCTTACAATAGGTGAAAGGTGACAGTGTTTAATAACTACAACTATCTGGGTCCAGGGTTTTATGAATATACCATATCCAGGTGATTGGAACACTAATCATACTGGTGTACTATACTTATCAGGTAGAACAGCATAGAGTATTTGTGTATTTATGTTTTACATTAACTCATATCTCGGTGTTGAAGTTGACTGATCTGTGGGAAGACTCTTTGTAATAACTGAAACAATCCTGCATCTGGGACAGACATGTTTGTGGTTGTCTTGACTGCTGGAAGCATGGTATGCGTGTCAGATGGGCTGTTTGTATTGTCACTTGACAGACTTGGTAATTCAGAGATCGGTTGCGTAACACCATAGAAGGCTTGGAAGAAACAAAATTATATAATCAGTAGTTTATATAGATTTATGACTTATTGACAAGTTAATGACAGATCTCTGTTGACTTTTGTCAAAACCAAGGACCCTTTTGTCAAAACCAAGGACTGCTATTATGAAGGAGATGGGATTGAACCTATGTCCAACTGGGTGTGATATGAAACCATTTCATTGATGTGACAGCATGTCGGATAGTTGATCATACAGCCCAACCTCCCAGATCTGCCCACCCAGGTGTGGCTTGTTCTGGGCAAGTTGGTCATACGACCCAATCTCCCAGATCTGCACACAGGGCTGTGGCTTATTTCAGGCAAGTTAGTCATACGACCCAATCTCCCAGATCTGCACACCCAGCTGTGGCTAGGCCATGACTGCGGCTGAAGGAAGTACACCAGAACCATAAAACCATTACAAATGTTTGTCAAAGTGCCTATATTGCATTTGAGCTGACAGTGTATCAAACTTTTCAGAAATTGTTTTGTTTCCTTGTTTATGAGCACCAGAGCTCAAAATATTGTACATACAATATACACCAGTATTATAGAATATGAACTGTTTCATGTAGATTTGCTTCAGAAGTTTACAAGATCACCATTAATCTCAAGAATGTGATTGAATGTAAGAAGTATTTGTAACACTACTTTTTTAACTGAAACATATTCTGTATTTTCAACTCGCTTGCGTGCAATATGAACTGTGTTGCTATGGTTACTGTGATCTTGTATATATCTCTCAATGATGTTTTCATCATTTTGGTAAAATGATTACCAGGAACTTTAGACATATATTTTTATACCAGAGAAGCTATTTTTCCTGGCTCTTGACTTTGAATGGTTACATGTTTTATTGTTGTTCCTGTTAAATCTTCCATAAGAATGCTTTGAAACTTTCAATCTCTGCTCAAATCTGTTGTCTCTGTGTCTTTCTTCAAACAAGTGATGTCAAAATAAGCTCTATTTTGGTATCTTTTTAAATGTGTTACATGAAGTGACTGCTTATGAGAAACCACACACACACACTCTACACATATGCATGCAATCAAGTTTGGCTGCACCTCTTGTTGGATCTTCTCCATTAGATCTTATTTATTGTATGACAATATGAATAGGCTATGCCATTTAGAAAGAGGTCACACGTTATATTTTGGATTACTGTGTTAGTGTGCTGGGAGTTAGGTGCTTGACTCTGAGGGTGTGGGTTCGAATCCCAAATGGGACTGAACCTGTCAAAAGTACAAGCATGTGTACTTTACTGAGAAAGTGTAATCCAAAATATAACCTGTTACATGTATGAGAATAGTTTACCAGTGTTTGTTTCTAAAGAGCGATGAAGCTGTTGCAAACATTCAAACTTGGCTCTCCCCCATAGTAATCCACAGCTTGACCAGAAGGAAGGTATTTTCAACTTATCACTTAGGTTAGCATTTAATGAAGTTCTGACAGCCTCTCAAGACTCAGTGTCTCAATACTTCATATTCTCTTCACTGAGATGGAATATTTCTATATTTCGCTGAACTGTCTGTATAAAATTCATCTGTGAATAAATCCTTTCTGTGTGTAATCAGCCCTATTGTCAGCTGTGGGCAGTGCACAGCTGTCCATAAAACAAACAGAAATCAATTTGTCTAGCTTAGAATGTGTGCAGTGTTCCCAAAAGTAAATCTGAGATTACAAAGAATTCAAAGAATACTTCAATACGTTCAGTGCAGCTTAGGAAAATTCATTCTCTTGGATAAGAGCTGAAAAACCTCCTATAGTGATGACTTACTGTATCTGATTCTCACTTGAATTTATCTACTTCAGGAGTGAAGTGCAGTATTTCTCCAATACATTATCAAACACTATCATTTTGCATGTTAACACAAATGTACACCACTATGAAAATATCAAGGGCATTATTAACTGATTTTAATATCAAAATTTCATTTAAGTAAGTTGTTATTTAAAGCTCAAACATATATTTTCAACAATTATTGTGGTATTTGAAGTATTCTTGAAGGTGAGACATGTGAAGACATTTGTCAAAATATTGACATCAGAATTAAGAAAAGCAAAATCACTGAGTCACATTTCTAAATACCTGCTGATGTTTCTGTGTAATGAACTTCCTTCCAGAGATGAAAGAACATGTCAAACAAGAGAAAATGATAGTAACAGTAAACGTTGGGCTAAAGAACGGATTTGATAATAAACCTGTTTCTTCATCTGTAGTAAGTAGATTGGCATTAATATCAAGTCAGACCTGTTTGAAACTGACCTGATGTCTCCTATTTAACTTCAGTTTCAGGCAGCTTCTGCTTCAAGTGTAGTTTATGTGACAGAGACTGTGTATTGACACAAGGTTTGTACATATATGTATATGCTGGGTAGCTTCTTCTGGTTATTCCTGAAATCCTTTTGATGCTCAAACTTACAATAAATTATTTATTAACATGTTATATGGTTTGGTTTTCTTACTGTAGATTTCGTAAGAGTGTCCAATGGATCGGGTGGTGAGCCTCGCTGACTTGGTTGACACATGTCATCGTTCCCAATTGGGTTGATCGATGCTCATGCTCTTCATGACTGGATTGTCTGGTCCAGACTCGATTATTTACAGCCTGCCCCCATATAGCTGGAATATTGCTGAATGCGGTGTAAAACTTAACTCGCGCACTACTGTAGGAGTCTACAAGGGAATTGGTTCCTCTGTATGTGGAAGAACATCAAGGACATCTGTTCTACTCTGTCGTTCAGTGCTTCACATGATCGCTTGAATTAAAGTACTGTCGGAAATGCTAGAAAAATGCTTTTTAGCCTTAATATCTTTAGAAAGGTGATAAATGTATTATGTTGTGAATATATCAACTCACCTTTTGTGTACCTAATTTTTATTTCAATTGATTTAACATTCCCATGCATTTAAAGGGCAGTTTACAGGAGAGAATTTGGTACCAAGACAACAACTTAAGATTTTTTCAGAGTTCAACAACAGAAATCTGAAATAGTCTTTACATTTATGCTAATAATACAGGTGGTGTAAAAATATAAATTAACGTTTTTCTTAAACAAATAAATGTTGAATGTTTGTGTTACTTTACATAATTATCGTTTCTTTATTGAATAAATATTAATATAAATGTTAAGTCTTGATAAATAAGTTTCCCGTCATGCAAGCACATCTTTATCACAGCGTCCACTATGGCCAACTATTTGCAGACGATTGTTGCAAAGGTTTATACGTTTTTTGTTCTTGAAAAAGACATGTAAACCTTTCATTAGTATAGAAATGGTTTATTACAGAACTTGTAGAGCTGTTGGTATGCCTTACCAACAAGTTTACAATATTGTAAACAAATCAGACAAGACAGGGACCGTCTCAAAAGCAAAACCGGGACGTAAAACCATCCTTGACAACTTTGACAAGGGAGTACTTAGACGGGCGGTCTACAAACTTTAGGAGAAGAAGAATATATATATTCTAAAGAGGCTACACCAGTGACTTCGTTAAATCTTTGGCCAATGTTCACAACTAGATTAAACTGACCGAATTACATCCATATTTTTGCAATGAAATATACTGTTGACATGCAAAACATTTAATTAAACGTTGCACATTTCTACAATCAATCGATAAGATAACACAAGTGATAGGATTCTTTCCAATGTACAGTAATTCGTATGTTTATTTCACAACAAACACACATACACAAATGATCCCTTACATAACCAATACGTATACTATACGCACACATATTCAACATTTTGAAGAAAACATCTATTGAGATGACCCCTCGCCCGAGCGCGTGCTCAGGTGTCAATTTCACCTGTCGATACCGTGCATGCTGATGACGTAACACAGGCAGTTAATGTTTGTATCAAATAACGTCCCACTACCCCTTATTTTTCTAAGTTTTTGGTATTTTCATCAGTAAAAACGCATTTTAGGGCATGTCTCAAAAAATATTCCCTCGGTCTACATTACGTAGATGTTTCTTAAAGTGATATTTGTTATTTAAGTAGCTGTAATACCTCTGAATTTTAAATATAAGTCAAAAAGCATTTTTCTAGCATTTCCGACAGTACTTTAGTGAGCAAACTCGTGTGTTAGTTAAAGTGATTAAAGTGTTCACTCACTCAAAGAATGACAGAGAATTTCAATTGTTAGGTAACACAAACAGAAGTTTAGCATTTCCCCTCAGTATCAAGAAGTCAGAAACACGTATTCATCGTCCTGGAACAAGTTAGAGGTTCGGGGGAAATAACTGATTTTGTGTGCTTTAGGTATGCTTCACACTGGTACCTCGCAGTGTGACGTTAATGGTTAACTGAACGGACATTGATGGACCATTTGGGTACTTACGGCGAAAGTTATGTACAGCTATAGAGTTATAGGCATCCCTGTAGCCACCGCCCACCAGTAACAACCCCACGTCAAGACCGATGGATTCGAACCACGCACGGCCGACACAGGTTTCAGCCGGCAAGAGCAGTAGACATACAAATAAAGATGAATAGTCATTCAAAATATGACACACTGATCCATGCTACAACGGTCTGGTGCAAATCTGATGATGCACCATCAGTACACGTCAACTGCACACGTGTTCGTGAACCGTATTTCACCGAACGCTCAGTGTTACAGGCAGGTGTAAGACGATCAATGGGTGGTGGCCTACTTTCACATTAGATTCTATAAACTGCGCTTTGTACTAAAACAGCAGAAGCGTGGCAATTCATAGCACAGCGCCGCCACTGGGTTGTGGTGACCCGGCAGATAATGCTGTGAGGTCAGTTTTTTCAACGACGACCATCATACAAAACGGCCACTCTCCACAAAGACTGCCTTGGACGTACTGGATTGCAAGCATCTCTCAAGACTCAACAAAGAATGCCTCGGACCTACAAGGGCTTAAAAGGGTTTCCCAAGGATAGGAATAGCCGCTTCTAAGGATAGACCAGGTTCGTGAATACATTGTATTATGATTTTAACGACAGGATATGTCTGAAATAAGATGTGAATCGGGCTTTTGATTAGGAAACGCACACTCTGGTATCGATTTTGTTTTGAACTCCCACATACTTGTGTAATAATAGGAATATAATCACTACATGATAAAACTAATTGCTGACGTGTTCAGTGTCATGTAAAGCCATATTTCCATTGTCTGACGTAAGTACAGGTGAGTGAGCGAAGCCTCAGACATGCAAAGCCTCTTATGGATTCCGAGTTAACATAGTAACTAACCCCAGCAGTCTATGCCTGAAAGAGGCAGAGTAAACCCACGTGTTAGAGCCCAGTTATAGACCATGCTAATAGCGAATACCTATATAAAAGAACGAAAACCCCATATGAAACTTTCAACCTGCCTTTCTATAATTCTAATGCCTTGTTATGGAAACCTGCCTTTCTATAATTCTAAAGAATGACCTGTTATGAAAACTTGCTGTTCTATAATGATTCCAATGCCCTGTTATGGAATCCTGCTATGGTATAATTCTAAATAATGACCTGTTATGGAATCCTGTCATCGTATAATTCTAAATAATGCCCTGTTATGGAATCCTGCCATCGTATAATTCTAAATAATGACCTGTTATGGAATCCTGCCATCGTATAATTCTAAATAATGCCCTGTTATGGAATCCTGCTATCGTATAATTCTAAATAATGCCTGTTATGGAATCCTGCTATCGTATAATTCTAAATAATGCCCTGTTATGGAATCCTCGTCAGAGAAATTGTAATAATAATTACAATAAATGGGAATCAAGAACATTATTCAGATAATTTTGTCTTTTGTCTGTTTCTTTTTCCCGTCTGACTGACCGACCCACGTTCAGAATTTGGTGGTTACGTGAAACACATAAAAATAAATGATGCCCTTATGTCCTTGGATAGCAGTGTGAAATGATAACAACCTGGGCCTAGATTTTCGAAGCTCTCTTAGCGCTAAGATAGTCGTAAGTGCCATACATTAACATTAACTTACGACTATCTTAGCGCTAAGAGAGCTTCGAAAGTCTAGGCCCAGGTACGTAACAGTTTGATATATTGTGGATACTATGTGAGATCGAACAGTGGGACGAATCGCCGTTTTAAATTTCCCGCGTCTAACTCTTTCCCTGTCGTAAAAGTAGTATATTCATTCTGTTTCTACTAACTTTCTACTAAGGTTAGAGCATCAGTGGCGATCATCTTGGTCTCTGTAAATCAACTTAATTGAGTTCTGCGATCTGCCGATTCGTTCACATACGATTTCGACAAAACTATTTCAATGAATGTAGAAAACGTTTGGACTGAATGAATAAAACACATTAGAAATTTAAGTCCAGATATACAAAATATATTAACCAGGTTGTGTAATAACAGGATTAACTTTCGTACTTTCGTTCGGGTTGGTTGACACGCTATTTCTGGTGTGGTGTGTTCACGGTAATGACGTTCCGTTTGGGAAGAAAGCCATCATAGCTCATTGTAGACGTGTGCTATGCGCAACACTGCTATTTAACACACGTCAGTTACATTTCTGAAAGAAAAAACGCTCACTATATTCATTAAAGATTTCACTGAAAAGAATACTTACCCCCAATAGTTTGAATGACTGTCCCAGAATGATCGGGTGGTGAGGTTCGGTAACTGACCGACTGCCTGTCATCGTACACCAACGGCGTAGAACATCGCTTATAATAGTCATCAATGTCCGAGGAGTAACATGGCGGCAAGTACATTATTGCGTCAAGACAAAGCAGTGACTCAAGACGTGCACTAGTCGACACGAAGCCAAGAGATGCCGGGTACACCGTCCATTTACGACCCGTAAAGATCCGGGTTAGAATTGGTCTTCGACAAGAGGCTTTTCGTAAGAGACGACTAACGGGATCGGGTGGCCAGGCTTGCTCTCTTGGTTGATGCATGTCATCGTATACCAATTGCGTAGATCGATTCTCATGATATCAATCAATAGATTGTCTGGTCCAGCCTCGAATATTTGCAGACCGCTGCCATATAGCTGGAATATTGCTGAGTGCGGCGTTAAACAATAACCAAACCACACCGTCCATTGTCGTCGACTCTTACCATAAGTGTTCAGCACCTACTCACCTACTCTGGAACTTCCTAGGGGGACAACAGCATTACGAAACCTCACAGATTATGTTTATATCATGTTTCAGATAACAATGGAGGATTGTGCCCATTGGAATGTGGAGCTGAGGGTGTTTTCTTGCATGTGCACATGGAACCCGTGTCAACAACTCTCAGCTATATACTGAATCTACCACTGAGACAACCCCTGTACTCGACAAGACCACATTGCCAGTACACAATGAACACATCCAACCGATCACGTTCTTCGGAGTGTAACAAATTACGGAAGAATTCTGATCAATATTTGTATGTTTGATCATTAACCTAAGACGCTTGTAGTTGTTCGTGAAGACTTTCCTACAGCTACCAGAAGGTTACAGCAGACATCAACACGTGGCTGAGGAAAGATAGCTTTGAAATAAACGTTCTCATCCCGACCACCGAATTGCCAGGAGAGGATGCATTTTCAGGAGGTTGTACAGAAATCCCTGATCAATTGGAGAAGAAGATTCTGAAACAAACTGTCGTAGATTCGCAAGATGAACCGACGGAAATGATGGAGTCGAATAATCAGAAAAGCAATGGGTATTTAGGTGCGGACAGGACGTTTAAGATCGAGGTTCGGACAGTAATAGATTCGGAAAAAGGTTTGGAAAAGTCAAAAGAAGCTTCAATTGAAACGGAGAACAAACACGACTTCCAACTTACAACACCACAACACTCTGGCGTCCGGCGTCGCGGACCTGTAATTCCTGGATATGGGTCGCACCTGATAAAGCTTGCTGTTACTTTACTTTATGCGTTTATAGTACTTTACCTTCTGTCTATCTCCTATGACAGACACCAGTGTTGTTACTACGCCAGACATGAGTTCAGCCACGGTATTGCCCGGGGCTTTATGAAGTGTGGTTATGTCATGATGGAGTCTGTTTTAAAAGAACTTTCATACCGACTTGCATATCAGTTTGGATTGCATTGACATGTCATATGTACTCAATTGCATACATCGATGCTCATGCTGTTGGTTACTGGATTGTTTAGTCCAGACTCGATTTTTTTATTCACTATGGAAATCTCACCTGTTACAAATGTTTATTCATTTGCAAGCGACAAACAGGCGATGTTTTTGACGGAATCAAACGTACAGCTTGTCATTGTCGTTCGGATTTCTCTCGTGTTTATCTTTTCGATTTTGAATGATTAGTACAATTTATTTCTGACGTGGCCTTTTATGAAATATCCTCTTATCTTTTTGTAACCATTAAAGATTTGATACCTTATTTCATGTCTGCAACTATTAATGTTTAAACTGTTATTTTATCACCGTTACCAACTGAGAACAAACATATTCCCCAGTGAGGACTGAACCATATATTCCCGCAATGAACCGCAATCATCCTTTGTTCATTTCTGCGGCATTCTTGGAATTTCTTAAGCACGCATCCTCCGACAGACAAGGAAAGTCCATACTTCTCACCATGTCTTATCAGCAAACAGATGCTTTATCGGAAATATGTTTGAGTATATTAAAAGATAATATTCGTCTATCAGTCATGAATTTCGTCTCCGGAAGAAAAAGAATCATTTGTATCACACAGCCGACAAGAGAGTAAGCAGGACGATTATGAAGAGACTGCTATTACAAATAAGACATTCACTACCATTCATAATCGGTCTCCTGAAGGAAGAGGCTGAAGCCTAGATTTTCGATGTATTTCATTCTCTCTACGGTTCTGCTGTACCATATTTTCGACAAATCATTTTGTTTCATGCATGAATGCGCGTGGAAATGGCATCCAAAAATCTCGAAACGCTGAGATTCAGGATCAAATACATCTACTAGGAATGGACCTATCTTTTTCGTGTCCTGTATTCATTTTATGAATGATTCAAATTCCCCTTCATAGACTCCCCCAGTCTAACCAGTCGAAGGACAAGGTATACCTCTCCGACTCCTTGCAAGTCCGGTTTCCAAAAGTTTTAAGCCTGAACTTTGGCATAGACAGAAGCTCTTGATTAGATGATCGAAGACAGCGTTTGTTTGAGTAAGGAGTAAGCAGGTCAGAGAGATATGGGGAAGTAAGTCCGTGACGGGCCATGTAGGTCAAGCAGGGGATTTTGTAGTCGCTTCTTGCCTTGATGGGGGGCCAGTGTAACTGTTTAAGAACAGGTGTGATATGGCCATGTTATGAAGGCTCGCGGTAAAATGTATGGATGCAGACGGCCTACGAAACTTACATTTTGAAAATATATTTCTCATTTTTAAATTCAGATTTGAATTTCCCACTGTATCAGTCAGGTGGCCACAGGAGTGCGATTCCATAGAAAGAAACCTGTGAGTGGGTTAAACGTTTCATACAGGGTTTCATTCAGGTAGTGAAAGGGTTGTCGGACATTTACTATAAGGCAAATGTTTATTCTACAATACTGTCGGAAATAGAAAACAAAATTTTAAGCTGTTACTCTGTATCCCTAAAAATTATATAATTGCAAATAACATATGTCGAAATAACCCACATCGGCCTAACTGGGCGTTCAGTGGGATGCGTAATATGATATCCAGAAAAGTATGTTTACACGTAAAATCGGGCAAAAATTTAGGTACCAAAAATAACAAAAATATTAATTTATACCAGCACGACTGGATCGATATATCCAGTCGTGCATTCTCATAAACTTGCGCCCTTTCGACGCATGGCGGCCTTCGATTTGGGACGAACCTTCTTTTAAGTTACGGAAAATTGCGAGGGGTGACAAATCAACCAAAGGCACACGTGATCTTCCCCACTGATAACCACAGGGGTTCGAATCACTGTTTGGACAATAATTTTTAAAAATAAAATCTAGATTTTTGCAACCGTAAATTGTTTTATATGTTATGAGTAACTTATATTTAAAATTTGAACGAAATCGGTGAAGAAATGGATGTTTTAGAAAATTCTCCCGCTACACTCATTACATAACGTGTATTTGAAATATACGTTACTCATAACATATAAAAACAATATACGGTTGCAAAAATCTGGATTTCTATCTTTAAAAATTATTGTCCAAACAGTGATTCGAAACCCTGTGCTGATAACGCGGTCGGGACGAAACAATTCAAACTCTTTCACAGTGCTTACACATTTATCTCCCTTAGTGACATAAAGAAAGGGTGTTGTCTGGAGACTCAGTGAGGTACTTCGATCAGTTGTCTGCATACTCTTGATTCTGAGGTAAGTTGGGTAGAGTAGACTTAGGTATCCAGCAACATGGAAGACAGAGTCTACAGACACATACTGACAAATGGTGTCCTCTCACTCAGCCAGATTCTGTCAAAACAGGTCTCTGACTAGGGTTAGTGTTTTGATAACACTTCCTCCTTGTTTCAACAAAATGCTCAATAGGCGAGGTTAGGGAAATTTGTATTTAAAAGAGATACAAGTACATTGATATGGTATTATTTGAATTCTCTTGGTGTGTGTGTGTGTGTGTGTGTGTGTGTGTGTGTGTGTGTGTGTGTGTGTGTGTGTGTGTGTGTGTGTGTGTGTGTCAGGAAATGCTCAATTAGTGATATTAGTGAAATGATTTTAACTAGTCCAAGATTATTTATGCAAAAATATATATTTGTTATGTATAAATCCTTTATTCTGCCATTATTTGATTATTGTAGTTGTATATGGGATAATTATACAGTTAGCCAGGCATCAATTCTTGAAAAATTACAGTTTGGTGCACTTAGAACAATATGTTGGGCTACAAGGGGAACAAGTCATAATATATCCGAAATAAATATGTTTAAACCGAATTTTCATATTACAAACAAACGCACACACACTTGCATACTTCTTAAATCGTGTTGCATTGTAGATATAGACTATAGCCCAGAAATAAAGGCTCACGCTTCAGTGGCTAATGCTAATTATCTAGCACGCATATCTCACCTAGCCATAGTGCAATGTTGTCTTAACAAGACCCTTTTGGTTAGACTCTGGTTAAAGGTCACATGCAACCAAAAAATCAAACATAATTAAAACGGAATTATCACTTATTCATGACATCTAATATACATTGCTGGTTATGAAAAAACATATAAACAAAATTATAAGCGTACAATCGCAAATCAAAAGTGCAATATTGTGTACTTGGGTTTACTTCCCAAGAAAGGAAGCAGCCGGTATACCGAACCCAGTCAGAGCGGGTGGGTGTGCACTCAAGTGTAACGGCTGGTTCATTTGCAGATGCTCTCACGGCTCATTGTGTGTGTATATATAGAGATGTTGAACGTGTGAACCTCACTATGAGCTATGTACGTGCTACGTGTGAACCTCACTATGACCTATGTACGTGCTACGTGTAAACCTCATTATGACCTATGTACGTGCTACGTGTAAACCTCACTATGACCTATGTACGTGCTACGTGTGAACCTCATTATGACCTATGTACGTGCTACGTGTGAACCTCATTATGACCTATGTACGTGCTACGCGAGAACCACACTATGACCTATGTACGTGCTACGTGTGAACCTCATTATGACCTATGTACGTGCTACGTGTGAACCTCATTATGACCTATGTACGTGCTACGCGAGAACCACACTATGACCTATGTACGTGCTACGTGTGAACCTCATTATGACCTATGTACGTGCTACGTGTGAACCTCACTATGACATATGTACGTGCTACGTGTGAACCTCACTATGACCTATGTACATGCTACGTGTAAACCTCACTATGACCTATGTACGTGCTACGTGTGAACCTCACTATGAGCTATGTACGTGCCATGTGTAAACCTCACTATGAGCTATGTACGTGCTACGCGTGAACCTCACTATGACCTATGTACGTGCCACGTGTGAACCTCACTATGACCTATGTACGAGCTACGTGGAACCTCACTATAAGCTATGTACGTGCTACGTGTGAACCTCACTATGACCTATGTACGTGCCACGTGTGAACCTCACTATGACCTATGTACGTGCGAGCTACCTATGTACGTGCTACGTGTGAACCTCACATGACTATAAGCTATGTACGTGCTACGTGTAAACCTCACTATGACCTATGTACGTGCTACGTGTGAACCTCACTATGACCTATGTACATGCTACGTGTAAACCTCACTATGACCTATGTACGTGCTACGTGAAACCTCACTATGAGCTATGTACGTGCCATGTGTAAACCTCACTATGAGCTATGTACGTGCTACGCGTGAACCTCACTATGACCTATGTACGTGCCACGTGTGAACCTCACTATGATGTACGTGCTATGTCACGAGACCTACGTGTGAACCTCACTATAAGCTATGTACGTGCTATGTACGTGTGAACCTCACTATGACCTATGTACGTGCTACGTGTGAACCTCACTATGACCTATGTACGTGCTACGTGTGAACCTCACTATGAGCTGCATGCCACGTGTGAACCTCACTATGAAATATATACGTCGTAAGTGTTAACCTCACGATGACCTATGTACGTGCTACGTGTGAACCTCACTATGACCTATGTACGTGCTACGTGTGAACCTCGCTTTGACCTATGTACGTGCTACGTGTGAACCTCACTATGACCTATGTACGTGCTACGTGTGAACCTCACTATGACCTATGTACAATCCCCATGTGAACGTGCTACCTGTAAACTTCTGTATGACCTATCTACCTCACTATGAGCTATGTACGTGCTACGTGTGAACCTCGCTATGACCTATGTACGTGCCACGTCTGAACCTCACTATGACCTATATACATGCCACGTGTGAACCTCATTATGACCTATGTACGCGCCATGTGTGAACCTCACTATGGCCTATGTACGCGCCACGTGTCAACCTTATTATGACCTATGTACGTGCTACGTGTGAACTTCACTCTGACCTATGTACGTGCTACGCGGAACCTCACGATGACATATATACGTGCTACGTGTGAACCTCGCTATGACCTATGAATGAATGAATGAATGAATGAATGAATGTATGTTCTTTATTTCCACCAATGGTTTGGAGAGTTATACATCCAGTTATGTATATATTTTTAGAGCATAACACATATTTGTGACAAAATAGAAAGTTCAATAATATTTGAAACATTCAACAGAACATAAGAAATCATAGCTCTTGGCAACAGATAATCACTGGGCAATATGTACAAAGCATTGCATGCTATTCTTATAAATACAGAATGCTGGCTAAGTTCCATGCACTGATGCGTTTTGCAATAATGCTCATGAACCTAGCCCAGCTATCAAGGGTCATGTCCTGCACAACCGGAGTAATGGAACCAAGGTATGTGAGGATTTTAACCTCGTCTTCAGCATCTTCGGGTCTCATATACGTGTCAAGAGACACGTTATCAAACAGATGCTCGCTCAGTGCGTTCCTGTTTTCTACCAGCTTGTCACAGTATAGGAGTTGATGTTTTACAATGTCCTCACTTTCAGTCTCGCATATAAGACACAGTCCAAGTGTGACGGGCAGTATACCCAACTTTATCAGAGCATAGACAGGAGGAGTGGCCATGTTATAACACAAACACAG